GTTTATGGGTTTAAGGGTTTAAGGGTTTAGAGTTTAGGGTTAGTTTAGGGTTTATAAGGGTTGGGCGAATATTTTGTTTCGGAACTGTTCCTTAAAGGAGCATTCTGAAATATAACTCTATTTTTTGTTGCTCCGTGGTTGCTTGAAAGTAAAGGAGCTCAGCAGGACGCTGAAGAGCACTCTTTATCGTGTACCTCGGGCCTCCAGTAGTACCCGTTTGACCCTTTTTCATTTTGGGTTACCGGGTTACCCTTTTTTTTAAGGGGCTACTGGAGAGCCTAGGCAAGCTGGCATGGAACGGAGGTGGTGGTCAAGTGCGCAGGTCTTCACGACAAGGATGCAGCGCTAGCCGTGCTCAATGCTGGCACTCTCCAGGCCGGATCAATCCCAGAGGAGACGGAAGCTATGGAGATCGCGGCTGAGCTGCTCCACGAAATCGACACTAGGCCTCCCAGTGGGGCCCTTTTTTCCTTGTGTGTTGGCTTTTTAGGTTCCTGACTTAACCAGCCAAGTTTGTTCCCAGGATACTCGAGTTTAGAGCCTTAGACCTTATAAACCCTATAAACCTTTAGGGTTAGGGTTTTGGGGTTCAACCCTAAGCCCCTTAAGCAATGAAAATCGGTCCAAGGACATTCTGTCATCCATGAGACATCCCGACATGGTCATGTTCCTCGGGGCCTGCTTGGATCCGCAGCTGCCCATCATGTGTGTCATGGAGTTCATGCTTGGTGGTGACCTCGAGACTGGGCTCTAATATAGGGCCCTTACCAATTTGAATAGGGTTTTGGGGTAATATCGTTTATAGTTAGTATCAGGAACCCCAAAATAGTGTTGGTAATTGCTCCTTTATCACTTCTTTCGTCCGTGCTGGGTTCTAGTAATTCCACTTAGCCCCGATGCCAGAACTCTTACTGTGTGAGTCATATCCCAGGAGAGCTACTATCTTTTACAGAGGAAGAAGCACGACTGTGCTGTTTGGAGTCCGCGCCTAAGCACGGTCTTGGACTGGAGCTTGGCAGTCGCTACTGGGTTCTTGTTAAGGGTTTTTGTTTAAGTTACCATAATTTAATAGGGATCTATAGTAAGTAATATGGTTTCGTTATTATGGTGATTTAAGTTAGATCGGTAATTTAAATTGTCTCCCTTACCAAGAACCAAGGCTAGGGCGCTCGTCTTCTTGCATTCCCGGAAGATGGTGCACCGAGATCTGAAGCCAATGCACCTGGTCTTACCTTGGCAAACCCTAGGGCTCCAGTTGCCTAAATAGTAGGTTTAGGGTTTAGGGTTTAAAGCCCACTATTTAGGTAACTGGAGCCCTAGGGAAGCTTGGTTTTCGAAGTGCGTCAGAACCGCCAACGACCTATAATAGGACTTGAAAAGGTGTCTCGTGCACTAAAGCTCTACGTCTAAAGCTTATACAGCGAAATCTCTATGAACCGCAAGGACAACCCAAAAACGACTAAAAGACAAACCCCGGTAGCCCTAAAACCGAAAGCCCACCTCCCCCTCCCCTCACAGAGACAAACATGTAATAAACTAAACCCCAATGGCCGTTCCTAAAATCCGAAATCGTGGCCGAGGAACCTGCTGGAGCAATAATAAAAGGAAGACGAAGAGTAGTACTAAAACGGTAGTAGCCATTATAATGTTAGTACTGGCACAATGTTAATATTAGTAGCAACACTGACAATAATCACAGCAATAGTATAATCACAGCATTGTTTTTCACCTTTCATAAGGCAAATCACTAAAATTAGTCGTAATGTTGATACTGCAAACACTAATGGCAACAAGGATTATTGAGAGTAGCATAAGTGAATAAGCCTCAATGGCCCAGGAACTTGTTTTTCAGCATCATCATATGACCCAAAATACTCATAACAATAGCAAGACGAAGATTAAGCGAACAGACCCCAATGGCCCAGGAACCCTAAAGCCTATAATCCCAGGAACCTCCTTCTGAGCAAGCACCAAGAGGTCAAGGTCTCAGACTTCGGCATCAGCCGAGTGCTTTCGCTCAGCGATGCTTACAGCATGACAGGCCCGACTTGGGTCCATGTACCTGTCCGGCCTTGGCCTTAAAGCAGGCCTTCTATGGGTACTTTTAGGGCCAAGCCGTCTACTGTACACTATATATTTTACATTTACGCAACACATGCATTTCGCCACAATGCATAGCCAGGACGTAGTGACAGTAGTGCGGCACCTACGTTGTGATACCAGATTCAATGCAAAGTCTTCCTGTAAAGCGACTTATGCGGGCTTGTATGCGGGGCTTCTTGAAACTACGGTTGATGACATAAATCCTGCATTACCCATGATAAGGAATATGCAATAATTCCCATAGTTTGGGGCCCTTAAGGTAATGCAGGATTTAGATCATCAACAGTAGGGGTGGTTCAGGGTCCTTGTACTATCCGAACAAGAATCCGACAAGTTCGTAACGACTTAGCGTTCTATATATCGCGCCCTCTAATTTCCCTAAACCCTAAACCCTAAACCCTAAAACCTAAACCCTAAAACCCTAAACCCTAAATCCTAAACCCTAACCCCTAATTACTGATTTCCGGAAGCTCCAGAGTTGCGAGAACCTCCTGAGCTTCCCGCTGTCCCTAAGCCTTAAACTCTCGAGCCCCTACGCCCTAAAACCCGAGCTGAACCATACCAAAGCCCTATAGGGCCCCCAGTTACTTAAATAGTAGGTTACTGGGGTACATAATATATGGTTAGTAACCCAATATCTAGGTAACTGGAGCCCTGGAAAACCCAGCGGCCCTTCAACGCTGAACGCTAAACCTTGTATAAACTCCCTTGAACCCTCAACCCAACCCGTGAAACCCTAGATTTATATGTATGTAGGTAGGTCGGTAGGTAGGTAGGTAGGTAGGTAGGTAGGTCAACCGCGGAGCCTGGAGGCGGCATTGGCAGCTGGCGGTATATGGCTCCAGAGGTGGTGAGGCATCAGGCCTATGATGAGAAGGCTGGGCCCTTGCAAAGAAAGAGAGAGAGAGAGAGAGAGAGAGAGAGAGAGGGAGAGAGAGAGAGAGAGAGAGGGAGAGAGAGAGAGAGAGATATATATATATATACAACATATATATATATATGTAGATAATATGCACACAACCCTATGGGTCCATGTACCTTTATAGACTTTATGGTATTTACTTTGGCCTTCAAGTAGTCTTTCTATAGGTACTTTAGGGCCAACGCGTCTGCTGCATGGGTACACGGGCCTGAGGGCAAACACAGAAAGTATTTCGTTCCTCCGACGTCAAATTCACTGAAGTTCGGTGTCGGAAGGTTGACGTCTACGCCCTGGGATTGGTCATTTACTTCATGAGCTCCATGGTGGCAACAAGGTTCGGGTCAGGGGTGCAGCAGTAGGCTTCCGGGATTGTAGGGCCATAGAGCTTAGTATTTAAAGCTCAAGACCGTAGGGGTCAAGGTCCTAGAGCTTATTTTTCAAAGCTCAAGACCAATTACCGGGTTTTTGGAGTTCCGGACAGGCCTGATCAGGTACTTGTTTTTATGTGAACCCTCTTGCGGCGAAGGAGTCAGGACATGTTACCCTAAACCCTAAATCTAAACCGTCTGTATGCGGCACCTTTGAGATCAAAATGTCGGATAGCAAATCTGGGGAAGCGCAAGGCGCCGAAGTTGGTTTGGGCTTCGGTTTCATGTTAGACTCTCGTAATTTGAAATCACGGCTTCAGTGCAGGGCCACCGGATGGGAATGCCGGTTCAGTTTGGAGCAGTTCATGTTCGGGCATGTGGTGTCTTTGTGTTCCACGTGTAGTGCCAGGTGCAAGGATCGCGGGCCTTCAAAGATGTTCAGCACTTACTGCTCTGCTTTTACTAAACATGTGTGATCTACGTATGTATTCTACCGTCGCTATTGCACATGCTGTCATGGCACCGGTGCGATCAACGAACAAACCCTGCCATGCCAAGTAGTGCGTGCCTGCAGAACCGTCAGCACCCTGAACCCTAAACCCAAGCCCCGAACCTTAAACCCTATAAACCCTAGAACCTCAAACCCCGAACCCTAAATCCTAGAACCCCAAACCCCGAACCCTAAACCCTTAAACCCTATATCCTAAACCCTTAGAACCCAAACCACCGACCCCAACGACTCTCAAGCCTAAGACCTAAATCTGCACGCCGCTCTCATCTGGGGGACAGTCTGGGTGGAAGCAGCTCCCCATAAGGCTCCATGCATGTACCTCTACAGTATATGGGACTTTCCGAAAATTTGGGTACCCTAATATAGTACCCTTTATAGTAGGATCCTTATTATAAGGACCCCAAAATAAGGTACCCCTAATTTTCGGAAAGACCCATATATATATATATACTTAGGCCTTAAAGTACCTTTATGGGGACCCCTTTAAGGCTAAAGTTTCTACTATAAGGGTACATGGAGCCTTTGGGTATACTTATACAGTACGGCTTTCGTCCCGGAAAACCCTTCGCAAGGTACCCCTAAACCACAACCCTACCCTACAGCCTATACCCGAAGCCCATAGTCAGAAAGACCGCAAACAAAACGCCATGAACCAAAGGTCAACACCCTAAAACCTAAACCCCTAAGTCCTAAGACCTCTTTTGGCGCCCCTAAATCCTGAAACCCTAAACCCCTAAACCCTAAACCCTAGACCCCTAAACCCTAAGAC